CTTTAAATATTCATTTGAACTACTTAAAATATTTAAAGCGATATATTTTAATGATAGTTTCGTCCATTAAATCAATGTATTAATAAGGCGGCGCAAAGTATAATGTCAAGAAGTATATAATATTTATCGTACGGTTATATATGAACATAACATGTTTTAATTTTAGATATTTTCTATAGTATATTGACTAAAATTTATTCATAGTATCAAATAAACTATATTGATTTATGTTAAATGTAATATTATATACACATATAATACATATTTTACTATTGATTTACGTTAAAGGTAATATTACAATTATTAAAAATATTTCCTTGTAAGAATTCCTTAATAGAGTCATTATCCAATTGGATATTTTGCGACTTTTGAAGAAATAAATGAAAGAAAGAATTTATCATTTGATTTAAATAGATTTTACTGATACAATAGACTTCCTGTTATGGTCAGTGCCGTACGATAATAATATTATAATATGTGGTAATCTCACTTATTTTAAAATTTTTCCACGTAAGTGGCAAAATTTATAACCGATCAGTCCAATCATCCATTAATCCATGTTAAATTAAGTGATATTACTCTCACCCTGTACTATAATATATTAATAAAAAATACCTAATGTTTTCCCATATTAGTATTGATATGATTTTATTTTTAATTTTAACATTACACCTCGTGAAAAAAAAGATCAGTTGTTCATCGATTAATCATTCAAATAATTAATTGTTCATTAGATTGTTTATTTAGAAATTGGAGATGAAAAATCAACCACTACAACTACAAACGTTCAATCAAGATCAAGTAAGAATATGTTGCTGAAAAAGTTTCCCGAAAGATTATAAGTAGTGTCTTGTGTAAGAATATAATCCGCTTAAAATTACGTTAATTTAGAGTTTTATATTTTATCACGTACGCGTATCAGCGTGCTAACTCTTTCGTATTAGTCATTTTTATAAATTATTTTGGGAATAAATATTAATAATAAAAAAGTACTCCTACTTCATGTGTGCAATATATTTCCGCCCATTTAATGGATAAAAGCATCGCAACCTTAGTATTTCTTTTTATAAAGCTTCTTAATAACAAATATGACTACTGGTCATAATCATATTTCCATTACTGGTTTCTTCGTACTAATAATGAAAATATTGTTTTAATGTAAATAATGTAATATAGCAAATAAAAATATTATAAATTCCTTTTTTTTACTATAGTTAAAATGTTGTACTTTTTTAAAGAGCATCAGACTGGCAAATTTAACCCACGAAAAAAGTACGATCAGACCAGAAAATTAAGGATTTTTTTCTTTTCTTTTGGCATACTATTTTTGGAGAACTTATCCAAGAAGGGCTCAGAATATTATCACTTTATTTTAATTAGAAACCACTTATTATAGGACGAACAATTAAATAAAAAATTAAATTTAAATACATATTTTAAATTACATTTACTATAATTAAACATACATTTACTATATAACTTAAACTTGCATTTACTATACTTAATATTTAAATTACATTTACTATAATTAAACATACATTTACTATATCTTAAACTTGCATTTACTATACCTGTCTCTTATACACATCTAGATGTGTATAAGAGACAGCTATATAACTTAAACTTGCATTTACTATACTAAATATTTATATCTTAAATTTGCATTTACTATATCTTAAACTTGCATTTACTATACTTAATATTTAAATTACATTTACTATATCTTAAATTTGCATTTACTATGGCTTAATTTTTGTTCATAATTTTGATACCATTTTTGTAAAATCAGTTTTTAATAGATAAAAATCCTTACCAAAATTTTTATGACTGTATTTTCTTTGTTAAAAATTATATGTATTATAATGTTTCATAAATTTTAGGATGATATGTTTATATACTTTGATAAATATTTAAAATGCTTATTTCATAAAATATAATATAACTTATTAATATAATTGATTTTAGTCTTCAAAATTTTTTAATTCTTTTTTTTCCTGTTCTAATTCTGATTTCAATTCATATATATTCTTTTTCAGCGAATTTATTTCTTCTGTCTTCATTCCTTCTTGAGAATTAGTGGTAAATTTAAAAATTTCATATTTATCAATATTAAAAGAATTTGACTTAAGAATATTTTCAATTATAAACTTAACTTTCAAGTCTTTGTTGTTTTGAGCAATTTTCATTAAGGAATTATAATTTTTTTTCAGCTGTACTAATTTATTATTAAGGATATTTTGAAATTCTTTATCAAACTTATTATTATCCATACCAACTATATTAACTATATTGCTAATAGTATTTCCAGCAACTGACATAACTCTTCCAATAAAATAATTAATTATTTCATTTTGATTATATTCTTCTTTATTAGTAAAAGTATTAATGAATTCCTCTTGTAAAATTAAAATATCACTTTTAATTTTTAAAAAATTAGTAATTTGATTGAGAACATCCTTAGCATTTTTTTCATAAATTAATCTATTTACTAATTTTTTTCTTTCTTCTGTTAACTTTTTAATACATTCATAATCCAAATCAATCAGTTTTTGTTCTAATTGCATTTCAATTTGTTCTTTTTCAATTATTTTTTGTTCCAATTGAGTAATTTTTTCTTCCATTTTGGGTTTTTCTAAGTTAGAAAACTTTTGATTTTGTAAAAGAACTTCATTCATAATTTGGGGTTGACTTGGATCATTTTCTTTTTGTTTAATCAAACTTTCTAGCTGTAATTTTAATTGTTGAATAGAACTTTTTGTTTCAATTAATTGAACATGCCAATTCTTTTTTTCTTGTTCTAACTGACCGATTTGAATTTGAGCTTGCCGATTAGTCAGCTCATTTTGTTTTAACTCTTTCTTTTCCGTTTGAATATTTTGATTTGATACTGATGATGATTTTTCCTTTTGTTTAATTATATTTTCTTGCTGAGATTCTAGTTCTTGAACTATGGTTTTAAGTTGGATTAATTGATCTTGTAATTTATTTTTTTCTCTCATTTGACTTTGAACTTGGTCATTAATTGGTTTAAACATCTCAATTAAATAGCCAGCTAAAGATTGCTTGTCGTTTTCCAAACAAGTAATTTGAGCTTGTAGAGTATTTTCTTTTTCTTCAAATTCTCTATTTTGTACATCTAAAGTAAGTTTCAGATTTTGATAATCTTGTTCAAATTGAGAATTTCTTTGTTGTAAATTAATTAATTCCATTCGAATTTTTTGATATGCTAAATGCATTTCTTTCAACTCCTTTTGGTTAATTCCAATTTCCATTTGAGAACTTTCATAATAAGATTTAGCAATTGTCTCTAGTTTAAGATTTTCATTCTTTACTTGCTCATAATTAATTTGAGATTGACTTAATTCATTTTCTAATTGCTCTTTTTGTTTAATTATACTTTCTTGTTGAGATTTTAATTCTTGAATGTAAGCTTCAGTTTGTTTTAATTGATCTTGCAAAATATTTTTCTCTTGATTTAACTGACTGATTTGAGTTTGAACTTGTTGATTAGTCATTTTATTTTGTTTTAACTGCTCAGTTAGTTTGCTAGTTAAAGTTTGCTTTTCATCTTGCAAACAAGTAATTTGAGCTTGCAAAGTATTCTCTTTTTCCGCAAATTTTCTATTTTTTACATCTAAAGTAAATTTCAGATTTTGATAATCTTGTTCAAATTGAGAATTTCTTTGTTGTAAATTAGTTAATTCCATTTGAACATTTTGATATACTAAATGCATTTCTTTTAACTCTTTTTGCTTAATTCCAATTTCCATTTGAGAACTTTCATAGTAAGTTTTAGCAATTGTCTCTAGTTTAAGATTTTCATCATTTATTTGCTCAGAATTAATTTTGGATTGATTTAATTCATTTTCTAATTGCTCTTTTTGTTTAATTATACTTTCTTGTTGGGATTTTAATTCCTGTTCAGTTTGTTTTAATTGATCTTGAAGTTTGGTTTTCTCTTGGTTTAACTGACTGATTTGAATTTGAACTTGTTTTAACTGCTCTGTTAGATCACCATTTAAAGTTTGCTTTTCGTCTTGCAAACAAGTAATTTGAGCTTGTAAAGTATTTTCTTTTTCTTCAAATTCTCTATTTTGTACATCTAAAGTAAGTTTCAGATTTTGATAATCTTGTTCAAATTGAGAATTTCTTTGTTGTAAATTAATTAATTCCATTTGAACATTTTGGTATACTAAATGCATTTCTTTCAACTCTTTTTGCTTAATTCCAATTTCCATTTGAGAATTTTCGTAATAAGATTTAGCAATTTTTTCTAGTTTAAGATTTTCATCATTTATTTGCTCATAATTAATTTTGGATTGATTTAATTCATTTTCTAATTGCTCTTTTTGTTTGATTATACTTTCAAGCTGAGATTTTAATTCTTCTTCTGTTCGTTTGAATTGATCTTGAAAATTAATTTTTTCTTGATTTAACTGACTTATTTGAGTTTGAACTTGTTGATTTGTCAGTTTATTTTGTTTTAATTGCTCAGTTAGATCACCAGTTAAAGTTTGCTTTTCATCTTGCAAACAAGTGATTTGAGCTTTCAAAGAATTTTCCTTTTCGACAAATTCTTTATCTTGTATATCTAAAGTAAATTTCAGACTTTGATAATCTTTTTCAAATTGAGAATTTTTTTGTTGTAAATTAATTAATTCCATTTGAATATTTTGATATGCTAAATACATTTCTTCTAATTCTTTTTGTTTAATTTTAATTTCCATTTGAGAACTTTTATAATAAGTTTCAGCAATTTTTTCAAATTTTTTCTTAGTATCCTTTTCTTTTTGTTTTAATTTAAGAAATTTTAATTTTTGAAATTCAAGAATTTCATTTGATTTTCCATCTGTAAAACTAAGCAAACGACTCTTATAATATGCTTGTGGATGAGATTCAATAATATTATGATTATTATTAGAAGAAATTGGTGATTTTATGAATTTCATAATATTACTTTTTAATTCTTCATTTATTGGAATACCATCAAAAATCCAATTTTTAATAATATTTAAAATTTCTAATGAAGATGGCCTTTTTAATGGATCCTTATTCCAACATTTTTTCATCAAATCTATATAACATTGTGGAGTATTCTCAATAATTTCAGGACGTTCATCTTTACAAATACTTAAACAAAGTTGAAGATCATGAGCTCTATTATTAAATGGTGGAACGCCAGATGTAAATTCCCACATAATCATAGAAAAACTATAAATATCACTAGATAAAGTATAAGATTGACTTAATAAAACTTCAGGTGCCATAAATGGTATAACACCATAAACATTATTTTTTCTTAAAGATTTTTCGGGTCTACATAATCCTAAATCAGAAATATAAACTTCATCATACTCATTTTTTTCATATTTATGTAATAAAATATTACCATCATGAAAATCATAATGAATAAGATTTTTTTTATGAATTCTATTAAGTCCAGAAATAATTTTATATAATATATATAATCTTTTTTTCCAATCATTATTGATTATTTCTATTAAACATCCTCTTAAATTACCCTTATTGGCATAATTCATTATTATCATATATTTTAAAGTATCTGGATTTTTTGTAAATCCATATAAATTAATAAATTCGAATTTTCTTAAACATTCTTTATAATGTTTCAACTATAATAAAATATATAATATTAAATAAAATTAGTAAATATATATAAATTATAATTATAAATTTATAAATTAAAAAAAAAGAAAAGAAATAGTGTTTTATCATACTTCATTTAAAAATTCATTTAAACTTTCATTTGAATTATTAAAATAATTTAGATGTTTAAGAACTACTCCATAATCTTCATATATGGCTTTATATATAATACCAAATACTCCTTCATCAAGTTTTTCGACATCTTTAAATTTATTATAAGGAATCCAAACTAAACTCTTATTTTCAATAATAAATTTATCAATAATTTCGTTTCCGCTAGTTCCAAATCTTTTTTAAATAAATTACGTTAGAATTTGTATTAAAAAACTAATTATAATACTGAATAACATAAAATATTACTTACTCTAAAAATTAAAAATAGAATTTTAATAAATGAATAAAATAAAATAAATTAGCTTAGTTAATTTTACTATATAAGAACGATATATAATAACTTCAGATCAAAATTACCGACTAAAGTAAGATTACCAAATTTTTTTTTTTTGAAAAAAAAAAGAATTTAATTAAAATTGTAAGTATAAAATATTAATATAATCAACAAACAATATTTATCAAATAAAATATATATTTATACTACTTACAAGCTATATATTTAAATAATATTTTAAATGAAAAAATTTAATTAGTTTAAATTATTATATAAAATATTCAGTTAGAGTAAAAATAAATAACTTTGTAAACTTACGAGCTAAAATATTTAATTAATTTTTCAAATAAAAATTTTTAAAATTAGTTTAAACCATTTATAAATAAATGGAATTAAATAAGTAACTTATAACTTACAAGCTAAAATATTTAAATGATTTTTTAAAATAAAAAATTTAGTTAGTTAAACTATATATAAATATTATATAAAGCAAATAGAATTAAATAAAATAAAATAAAATATGAACTTACATCCTATATTTTAAATATATTTTTTTAATCACGAATTAAATTGGTTTCAAATTATATACGAAATATTATATAAATATAATAAATAATTTATGACGACTTACGCTCTATATATATAATTTTTAAATAAAAAATTCAGTTAAATTAGTATATACAGTATATAAATAATATAATATAAATATGGTAAAATTAAATAAATAACTTTTAACCTACCAACTAAAATAGTTAATTGATTTTTTTTTAAAATAAAATTTCGGTTAGTTTAAATTACATATAAAACACGGGTCTGGTACAAAATCCCGAATGTCAAAATCCCGAAAATCCAGAGCCGGGCAGAATTATGTTTAATGCTGGCCAATTTTTCGGGATTTCGTACCGTTCGAGATTTTGACATTCGGATTTTGTACAGATCCAATAATTACTATATAAATATAAAAAATTAAATAAATAATTTTATAACTTACTAGCTAAATATTTAATAATTTTTGAATTTTTGAATAATTTGGTTGGGGTTGGTTAGTTTAAATATTATATAAATACGATAAAATTAGAAAGTCATATAACTTACGATCTAAATAAAGAATCTGATTAGTTTAAATTATATAAAAATATTATAAGAACTAAATAATTGACTTACGTTCTATATTTTTAATAAATTTAGTTAATGTTCATCTTAATATAAGAATTTGATTATTTGCAAAACAAGTAGAATTATAATAAATAACTTATAACTTACGAACTAAAATATTTAAATTTTATAAATAAAGAATTTGGTTAGTTTAAATTATATACAAATATTATATAAGAAATTAAATAATAACTTACGTTCTATATTTTTAATAAATTTGGTTAGTTTAAATTATAGTATAAGTAATACAATTTAAGTATAATAAATAGAATAGAAGAAATAAACTTATAGCTTACTGGCTAAAGTATTTAGAATAAGGAATTTGGTTAGTTTAAAATATGTATAGATGTTACGAGAAGATATACAATAAATTAAATTAATAACTTACTAACTAAAATATTTAAATAATATTTAAATAAAAAATAAATATAATTAGTTTAAATTATATGGAAATATTACGTGTATATAAAATAAAATTAACAACTTACCAACTAAAATATTTAAATAATTAAATAATTTTAAATAAAGAATTTGGATTAATTTAAATTATATGCGAATATTATATATAAATACGATAGATTACTTACTAGCTAAAATGTTTAAAATGTTTAAATAATTTATTAAACAAAAAATATAATTAGTTTATTATACGCAAATATTTAATAAATATAAAATAATTTATAGCTTACAAGCTAAAATATTTAAACAATATTTAAATAAAGAATTTAATTAGTTTAAATTATATATGAAATATCGTTTAAATCACATAAAAATTTATAACTTACGCTCTAAAATAAATTTTAAATAAAAAATTAATTAGTTAAATTATATGAAATGTCATTTAACTATAATAGAATCAAGTAAATAATTTATAACTTACTAACTAAAATATTTGGACGTTTTGTTTAAATTACATAATTACCATGAAAAAATAATTAGTTTAAATTATATATAAATATACATAATAGAATTTAAATAACTTAACTTACCGACTAAAGTAAATTCCAACCGATTTTTAAAATAATGAATTTAGTTGGGTTTGCACATATACTGTATATCACATGTAAATCATCAAACATAAATATTATATAACTTACACCCTATATAATTATAATTTTAAGGTGTAATTAATTATATGAAAATAAATTTTAAAATTTCTTAATGTACACAGATGCGACAGATGCGTTATCACGACTATCACGTGACCTTACAAAATTTTATGTAAAAAAAAAATTGACATATGACGTTTATTAAAAAAAAATGCACATAATTGTAGTATTTTTTCTGCAAGTTTACCTTCAATGATGTTTTGAATATCACTTTGCCTTATTTAATAAATCTTTTCCTTTTTTTCGTTAAATTTACAATATTTTTTTTGGAAACTCGTGATTGAGTGATGGAAGCACCTGTGTACAAATAGAAATTTCCAATAATATGATAATAGATACAAAATTATAACTTACAATCTAATATTTAAATATAAAATTGTTAGTGTAAATTAGTGTAAATGATGCGTAAATATTTTAAAATTAATATAATAAAAATTTATAACTTACCGGCTAAGTAATATTTAAAACCAGTTATTTTAAAGAAGAATTTAGTTATTTTGAATGTCATGTAGGATACTGCAAAAATAAATAACTAATAACTTACCAACTATAATATGATTTATCGTTAAATAAATTGTTTTGTTATATAAAATATAATAAATGTAAGTCGATTATTATAAACTATTTTATAAAGATTATATAACTTACGAGCTAAAATAATTTGATTTTTAAGAAATAATTTAGTTTAAAATAATAGATGAATATTATTTAAAATATAAAGAATTAAGGAACATAATTTACAAGCATCATAAATAAATTTAACTACCTTCAGCTTCCTTGGCACTTAAAGCTAATTTTATTATGTTACAATTTGTATTAAAAAAATATTGGAATAATTAATTTTGTTAAATTTTCAAGTTCATGGTATATATTTCTTTACCTTTATCGTTATTATCCATTACTTTCAGTTATCTTTCTAAAAATCGGGTATTCGTATGTATTTTCTTTATTAAAGTCTTTATTATTTGTAGAATGGTATATATAGCTGTTTGTTATGGTATTACGAAAGATGATGCAAAGCTACGTCATTGATATTGGGCGAATAGCAATTTGAAATATTTGTGCAACATGCAGACGCCAAGTGCTAACCAAATTTACTTATATAAACGAAATGCATTATGTACAATTATGCATACTCGATAGATAAAAACATATAGTATGAAAGGCACTTTGAAATATTTATGGAAATAAAGATTTTAAGTAACCATATTTATTTAATATGAATGAATGCATTATATACGTTGATCACAAGCACAAGCATATGCACGGTAAATACGCTTCGATAAAAATATACAGCATAAAAGGCACTTTGAAATATTTATGGAAATAAAGAATTTAAGTAACCAGATTTACTTAATTTAAATGAATACATTATGTGCAATTATATTGGTCACAAAGCACAAACAACATGCACGATAAACGCTCTTTGATAAAAATATACAGTATGTATAATTCTTTTCCAATTAACTCTAATAAATTATTTGACAAAAGAATTTAACAAAAATATAGTACTCAAAAATTTCTTTTAAAACTAACGAGTAATCTTATACCAATGTAGAGGACGACTTTATCTAGTGACATTATTAATTTTGAGGCGCAATATAATATTTAATTTAGACGTAAATTTACTGCGGTCCACAATGACCTTAAACTACCATTTAAGTGACCATGGGTGGTCCGAAATGACGTTAAACTATCAGGTGATTTATTGTGGGGTACAAACTAGGGAAGATTGTGGAAGATTTAGTTAATTTTGCTCCCCTTTCCATTTTTTTTGATATAATTCCGCAGTAAATTTTTATTTTTTTACACTTTATATTTTTCTTACCCGAGGAGTGAGGACCACTTGGTGGCCTCTATGGAAAGGCCTCCTCTTTTAACCTTCGACCTTCAAGAGAGATGGAAACGGAAAAAAAGCCCGTTTCAGAAGATATTATTCAATATACTTCAGTATCTTCTACTTTTTCTTCAAATATTTCTGAAAAAAAATTTTCAACACCGAAAAATACTTTCCTTGTCTCATGTGATGACTAATCGCCGTACCGGTTATAACAAGATTTATGAATCTAGGTGCTCAAAAAGTTTCTTTTTTGAGCTTGCTGATCTTTTTTCAAACACATTTATTAATACACACTAATGATTATCATATGAG